AATTGGATCAGCTTTTGAACGCATGCAGAGCTGGAAAGAATCCTTGGCTGTTCCTCTGAATGATCAAAACCTTTTGTGTAAACTTGAGGTGGCTTAAAGAAAGAAATACTTGCATCTGGCTCATTTTCTCCTTTCTTTTCTTTTTAAATCAATAAACTATTTTTAGACCAGTTTTATGTTCAAAACAAAATTGATCCCCACACATGCACAGCTTTCTCTACTTTTGATATCCTGCTCCAGAGTGGTACTTTTATTAAGATAAGTGAACCTACACTGACATATCCTTATCACCCGAAGTCTGTTAGCATTCACTCTTGGTAATGTACATTCTATGGGTTTTGACAAATATATAAATATGGTATCCAGAATTATAGTATCACACAGAATAGTTTTACTGCCCTAAAAATCCTCTGTGCTCTACTAATTCATCCTTCTCTGCCTAGCTTTTGGTAATCACTCATCTTTTTACTGCCACCACAGTTTTTCACCTTTCCCAGAGTGCCATGTACTTGAAATTACACAATAAGCAGCCTTTGGGAATTGGCTTCTTTCAATTAGTATTATGCACTCAAGTTTCCTTCATGTCTTCATTTCTTTTTGGCACTGAATAATATTCCATTATCTGGATTTACCACAGTTTTTGTATCCACTCAACTACTGAAGGTCATCTTGGCTTCAGTTTTGGCAATTATGAGTAAAGCAGGGGCCGGGGATTTAGCTCAGTGGTTCCGGCCCCTGCTGCATAAGTGCAAGCTCCCGAGTTTGATCCCCAGTACCAAAAAACAAAAACAAACAAACAAAAATTACGAGTAAAGCTGCTGTTAAACATCCATGCATAGGTTTTAGTGTCAATATAAGTTTTCAGATCCTTTAAGTAAGTCCCAAGGAGTGTGATTGTTGGATTATTTGGTGAGAGTATCTTAGTTTTGTAAGAAATCTCACAATAGGCTTACAAACTATTTCAAACATCTTACATTTCTACCAGTAGTGATGAGAATTCTAGTTTCACATCCTCATCAGCATTTAATATCAGAACTTTGACCACTCTAATAAAGTGTGAAGTAAGTAGTCTTACTCTTTTTTCTGTATCTCTTTTTCTTTAATGTTTCCACTTAAACTTAGCTGTATTGACCAATATTTAATATGCATTTACATTTTAGGATATTATATTTTTGTTATGGCCATGTTCTTTTGTACTTTTCTGTACCTTTTCTTTTCTAATCCTCCCATAAGGCAAAATGGTAAAGAAGGGAATAAAAGAAAACAAAATGTTTTACACGTTGTTATTGTTGACATATATTTATGTTTTTCAAACTATTTATTTATGTATTTGTGTGTACTTTTTGGTGCTGGGGATTGATCCCAGCGCCTCATGCATGCTAAGTATATGCTCTACCATCGAGTATTGGCAAATATAATTTGCATACATTATGGTGCATAACATGATATTTTGATATATATGTATGTTGTGGAAAGGCTAAGACAGCTATTTAAGATATGTATCATCTCATCTGCTCATCATTTTTTGGTGTGTGTGGCGAGAACATTAAAATCTACTCTCTTAGCAATTTTTCTAGTCTGTCACTGTTTCTTTGTCTCTGTCTCCAAGTCCTTCCTCGATCACCTGGAAGCAGGATGAGCCACATCCAGAACCCCTGATGGGACTGCTGCTCAGGTCTCCTAGTCCACGAATGAAGGTGTCCTGCCATGCTGCTGACCAGGGACCTCAGGGTGGCCAGTGCCAAGGCTTAGCATTCATCTTCAAAGCCAGTCCCAAAGAGCACATACACAGAGGAAGCCCCAGTCAATGCTTCCCACCAGCAGTCACGCATCACTGACCTTAGTGTCAGACAGCCTCGCCCTCTTCTGGCCATATGACCTTGGGAAAATAATTTCTCCCAAGCCTCACTTTCCTCACCCGTGAGATGGGTACAGCCCAGTTTGCAAGGTTACTGTGGGGCTTAAATGAGTGAATGGAAGGGCTAGACCAAGGTACAGAGTGCACAAAGAACTCAATGACAGCTGCTAATCTGGATTGTTTTTACCGTGCTCATTTATTCTCCCACTGACTGCCATGGCTGCCTTTCTCCAAGGTCAGAAGATGGAAGAAGATGGTCCTCCTCCTTGGACCAGGCCTCTTCTGGGAAGGGCATGAGGTGAAGCTTGACTAAGGCACTACACACTTGTTCCCACTGGAAGATGTGGGCAAGACATGACAGGGTCAGTCTGCTCGGGTTCGAGGCAGGCAGTGGAGTTCTTCCTGGCTCCTGGCTCCTTCTTCACGGCACCAAGTGTGTAGGAAAGTGTTGGCCCTTGCCTGCCTGCACCCACTTCACAGAGAACCCCTGCCCCATGGTGGTAAACCCTGTAGGCTTGGTGCCTGGGCCTGATGCCTGTGGGACTTGGATGGTGCAGGGAGCTGGGAGGGTCTGCTTCTAGCTTCCTGCTATGTCTTCTGAGGGTGTTCCGTGACAGGCTGGAAGACTGCCTCTGTAGACAGACCCTGCTACAGGGGTCTGGGCAGGATGGGGGCAGACAGGATATCTTGGCAGATGTCTAGCCTCTGGGGCAGGGGCAGGGCTGGGGTAGGAATACCCAGAGGCTGACCTTTCACTCTCCCACTGCACCCCCATTCCAGGTCCTGGCCCCATTTCCTCCACTTACACAACCAATCTGGAAGGGCCTTTCTGGGGCTGATATGTGTTCTACTCACTGTCCCTGAGAATTCGAGTCACTGAGGAAGGGTTAACACAGCCTGGCTCATGGTCGCTACAAGGAACCCGGGGCCTGGTAGAGGAGGGCACTTGTTAATTCCTCCAAGCTTCAGGTGTTGGGGGCTCTGGGAATGAGCCTTAAAGATCATCCATGTGGCTGTCAAGACTACACAGGCCATGTAGGATTCTGTAAGGGCGACAATCTTAATACAAAGAGGTGGAACTTCTGGGCCCCCTACTCCTGTGACTGTGCTTTGAGAACCCCAAGAGCACCAGAGACACTGGTTCATTCAGGCTGGGTCAGTTCCCTGCCTGATCTCAGTGGTGACAGCATCCTGCTAGGCCACAGGCCATGTGTCTGTGAGTCTTGGCAAACCCAGCCCTGTGTGACTAAGCATCAGGGTTGACCCAGTGGCTTGGGGCCACTCAGCCAGCTGTACCTCACTCTGAAGCCCCAGGTCTGAGCACCCTGTGGAGTTCACGTGTTGCCCCAGTAATGTCACCACACATGGAACATGCCAGGGTCTCTGACCTGAGACTCTGCTGATGTGGCTTTCCTCCTGTAGCTACCTCTCTCTTCCCTGCTCTCTTTCTGCTCTGTCTGCCTTCAACCCATTACCCCCTCTTCAGTGGAGGCCCATCCCTCCTTGGTTGGGCCCTATCACTTGCCTGATGGGTTATGGTTCTTGCCTGTTCTGGTCTCCCCTGAGGCCCTACTTTCATGTGGGTTCTTATGCTGTGTTGGATTCATTGGAACCGCATGTGGACCAGCTCATAGAGTTGCTGCTTCCACGTGTTAGGGGTGAGACTCTCTCCTGAAGCAGTGCCTCTTTCTCTGTTGGGTGACCTGGCTCCTGCTGCTGCTTATAGCAGAGTGGGGCTTCTCACTGGGCACAGTACAGGTCTTTGGGTGAGAGACAAGGGACATTTTAGCCAGCTCCCTCCTGGTCCCTAAGAAAAATCACCAACACAGGGAAATTAAAACACCGAGACAGGTAGTCAGGAGGGTTCATACACAGGTGGGAGTAAGCTGGGAGGAGTGAGGGCTGCATCAGGGGCAGGTTGGGGAGTTACAGAGGGAGACCCTGCTTCCCCAAGGGTTGGGCTGTAATGGTGTTTCATGATGAGACTGAATTGTGAATGGGAACTTCAGGCCTCTCACTGGCTAAAGCTGTGAAAGCAGCCCCTCACTCTATCTCACTTGAAAGCCTGCTCTGTCCTGTCCTGGCCACATGTCCTGCTCTCTTGTGGCCTGGGAGCCTGACCCTGCACCCTACTGCCTCCCCAGGTCTCGTGGGTTATGTGACAAGGGATCAAGGGGCTTGCCTCCAGGAAACTGCCGGGGAAGTCTCTGCTGCCTCAGCCAGCAGCACTGGCACAGTCAGCAGAGACTTCTGCTCATCCCTGTCATCTCTTGGCCACATCTGGCCTGGGGGAGCAGGTGTGCAGCTCCTGAGTCAAGCCTCACTCCACCCTCTCTCCAGTGGCAGCCTGGGCCAGGGGAAGGAGGGCACACAGTCTTCTTGGGAGGCGCTGGCCTTGGAGAAAGGTGGCCTGGACAGTTGCTGGGAAAATAAATTGGCACGATACAAACAATCCTAGTGAATAGCGATTACTGAATTCTTTCTTTACTCTGGACCTTGTTCCAGCCCTTTGTATTCACTCAATTAAGCCCTATAGTGACCTTGTAAAGAGGCTCATGTACACCTCACAGGTAAGGAAATTGAAGCTTAAGAGAAATGATTTTCCCAAGGTCATATGGGAGGCTGTCTGATGCTAAGATCAATAGTGCATGTTTGCTGGTGGGAAGCACTGAGTGGGGGCTTTTTCTGTGTCTGAGGGACCTGATCTCGGGGACTAGTTTTGAAAGATGGATGTCAAGTCTTCCGGCCAACCATGCTAAGGTCAACCAGGCCAGTTCTTGGCTGAGCCTTTCTTCCCAGAGGTCAGGGTAGAGCCCTTGACTGTTTACTAGGCCTTCCCATCTTCATGATCTCTTCGACTCCAATGGCATCCTTGGGGAGTAAAGTCTACGTTATGATTCCCATTTCCCAGTTGAGGAAACTGAGGCTTTTGAGGGGAAGCACTTGTTGAGCATCAAATACAAGAGAGGGAAGAGTTGGGGCCAGAAATTCAGCCTTGTGCATTAGTAGGTGCCTCATTTGCCTTTTCCCTTGTGGGGTAAGGCACTGGGCGGGTATGGGGGTGACTCACACAGGGCACGTGGGTGGTAGGCAGGGCTTGCCTGGCGCCGAGGGCAGGTAACCCAGCCAGTTCTGCCTCTGCCCCCTCAATCCAGTCATCAGCCATCCCCAGGCCTGAGATGGAAGCCTCTTGCTGCCCCAGCCACTGTCCCATGGGGGGGCCTTGGGCCCCAGACATGCGGTGATATTAGAGCAAAGGCCGTCATCATCACCCGGTACCTCACAAGGTAAGTCCTCGCCACATGGGGCAACCAGTGCCATCCAAGCCCCCTGGGGAGCCCAGAGCATGGACTTGGGGTTCTCTGGGCCATGTCTGATCTTTGCCCATAAGCTTCCATGAAGGTTGGGAGGGAGCTGGGTTCTAGCAGGGGAAACAGAGTCGTGAGCTCTTGGCTGTAGGGCTGTGAGAGCGCAGGCCCTAATGGAGACAGGAACCCTCTCTGAGTCTGGAATCCTTCTTTGGAAAGGGAAAGGTCTTACGGCTACTCGGGGCAGAGGTGAGGGTGCTGTCTCCCTCAGCAGGCTTGCAGATGTCTCTCTCCAGGGCATGAGTGTGATGAGATTTAGGACTGTACGAGATGGCCCAAAGGTGGAGAGGTACAGGGCCTAGGTACCTTACAGGTGGCCCTCCCAGGTGCCTGTGGTCTTTGCCATTCAAATTAGGAAGAAAGTCCATTTCCATCAGCTTGAGGGCTTGGGAAGCATGACATTCCCCTGGCTGGGTGTGGAAACTGAACTGGGAGAGAGGGAGGGCGGGGCAGCTGAGAGTCCGCAGGGGAGAAGCAGGGTTTATGGGGGTGATTCAGGAGCTAATTACAGCTGCTGCAGTCCTGATCCTGATTTTCCTGGCCCTCTTCTGGGCTGGCTACCCGGGACAGCCCACAGTCACGGGCAAGGCAAATGAAACAGCTGGTGTCATAGGTCAGAAGTAAGGAGTCCTTAGGGACCATTCAACACACTTTTCAGGAGAGAAACCAGAGACCCAGGGAGGGGTAAGACACATGCCTCCATCCTTCTCTCTCCCTCTTGGCCCAGCCCAGCCTTTTAGCCCTGTCTGTTCAGATATCTCTTTGGGCTGGGGCAGTCAATGAAGGCCGCCTGTCCTGCTCAGGCTGTGACTAGATACAGGTAGGGACCCAGGTGTGCGGAGGCCCTCTCTGTGGGCTTCCCCACCTGGGTGGCCTTCAAGCCCCTCCTGAGTGCCCCTGGCATCAAAGTGCCTGCGCGTCAGGGACAGTGTCCTCCCCTGTCCTAACACCCCTCATCCTAAGCCTACTCGCTTTCCGTAGGGGCAGGCACCGTCCTACTTCCAAACCTCTCTCCAACCTGATGGCAGCCTGCTCAGGACACTTCCTTAGGAAGATTTCCTACTGGAGCAGGGTCACCAGTGACCCCAAGTTCATCCATCCAGCTAGGTTTTTACAGACACTCACCCTCTTCCTCTGTATCTGTGACTCAAGCTGAGGTTGGCCCCTCACTGCATCACCTCCTGTCCACTCCTCCCTTTCTACATCACACATTCTATATGGCCAGCTGGTCCTCATCCCCATGGCCCCCACAGCAGCCTCCTCCTGACCCCCAAGCCACTGGCCTCCTCCATGCCCCATGCCTGTCCTCCCCAAGGTGTCTGTCCCTATGTAACCCCAAGTCCACCCTATTCCTTGCTGCCTTGGGATAAGCTTCTACATGGAGCCTCTCACAATGTGATCCAAACTGCTTCCAAGGTCCTCCCTGACACGGGCCCCAGGATCTCCCACCCTAGGCTCTTCAGCCCCACCAATTCCTTGCTGCTCACTGACCTATCATGACCCCATGTCTTTGCCCAGACTGTACCCTGCCCAAATTGCCCTTCCTTCTCATAGAAGCCTTTAGGGTTTCCTCTGAGATGCCTTTTCTATCTCCTTGGAAAACATCTCAGGCTCTCTTCCCAGCATCCCTATGCCCTTTGGAGCTCAGCTCAGTGCCTAGCCCACAGTGAACAACAGCAAAGTAAGTCTGGACCAGGGAATGGGCCTCCTCTGCCTTGCGGCAAGGGACTCATCTACTTCCTCTAGGCCAGTGAGAGTTCAGCATACACAGCCACAGGCTGGTTATGCTCAGCTTTGTGAAGAGGATGAGAGAGAGAGATGATCAGTGTCTTAGCTTCAGAGGCCATCCAGATTTTGAGAAATCTAAAACACCAGAGGAGCCCTAGGCTGTGCTACTAGAAGCATAGTGTCTAGAGAAAAGGAGGTCAAACTTGATGCTAAGGTCAAACATCTTGGAGAAGAGATCTGAACACAAAATCTGAGTGACATCAAGAAAGCAGAGCTAGTTTTCAGATTCCATACAAAGATCACTGGGGCTTGGGGCTGGGAGATGGTGATGGTGACTGGGGGAGAGGCTGGGACATGGTGGTCTCTACCTGGATGCCTTTGCTGGGCTTTCCTAGGACCAAAGGATCAGGCAATAGGGAAAACTGCAGGGGCAGTCTCCCTGATATCAGGAAGGATTGGGAACCTGGGAATATAGAGAGGGAGCTCCCTGTCCTAGGAGGTATGAGCAGTAGCTAGATAGTACCATGTGGGGGTCTGAAGGCCCTTGAAGCTCCTCCATGCCCTTAACATCCGCCTTGTGAATGTGTTACAGCTATGAATGCCCACCCCAAGGAGATGGTGCCCCTCATGGGCAGGAAAGTCAATGTCGCCAGTGGGAACCCTGCTGTTCTGACAGAAAAGAGGCCAGCAGAGGTCACTCCCACCAAGAAGAGGTAGGATTAACAAACTTGGGACCAGATTCTGTGCAGTGAAGGCACAGGAGATCCCCACACCAGGGAGGGCGGTCCACTTCCTTTTGGTGGACCAAGATTCTCAAGTGTCATTTAGGGTGGCATGGCACCCAGCCAGGTCTAACTGAGGAAAAGGCACTCTATACTTGGGTTTTGCAGGGGAGGTCTGTAGACTGGAACAATCAGGGAGCTCTCCCCCAAGGTGCCAAGGGGCACTGAGGCAAGAACATTCAGGAAGGCTCCTGGAGGAGGTGAGGGATTTCTGGAGCCATCCTCAAGACAAGGAGCCAAAAGATGGGTGGACATTCTAGGTAGCTGGGTATGTCTTTACCCACACTGACGGCTTTCAGTCCACTGTGCACCTGGTGGGTTACTCCAGCTGCCTAACCCACCTGTGTAATGGATACTTTGGGAAAACCCAGTCCTGTGTACAAGAATCATCTGCCAAAGGCAGAAGGGGGTGTGAGACCCAAGAAAGAGGCAGACAGATCCAAGAATGCACAAAAGTGTTATTTATTGGGGACTTATGGGCAGATGTGTGTCTTGTGAGGCAGCAAGAGAGAAGGATTGCAGCCTTGGAGGTAGGAGGAGAGGGTTTATATGCTAAACTGGACAAAGGTGGGTTGTGGCCAACCAGAGTGTACCTTGGTTTTCTTAAAAATTACCAATTTCCAATGTCAGTTTAGAAATAGTCTGAGTGTTCATGGCCAGCACAATACTCTTGGGTGACTATCTTAATGGCTTTTTTGTTCTATAGGACCAGGGTCACCTGGTGGGGAAAATAGAGGCTATGATCAAGATGGCTGTAATCACATCAAACTGGGTCCCTACACAGGGACACCAGCAATCGTACCAACTTACTGGATGATGAATTGGGATTATGTCAACAAAGTGCTCAGCACAGTGCCTGGTATTTGTTAGGTGCTCAGGACATGTTCACGTTGGTAGTATTTTTTGTAACCTTTATCATCATCATTGCTGTTGTCACTCAGTGGGCTCTTGGGACTTAGGCAGGGCTGGGGTGGTTAGTTCCGCTTTCAAGGTGCAAACACAGAGGAAGCTGGGAGCAGAGGAGAAGCTTCTCTAGGCTCACACCTTCCTTCCCTTGAGCTGCTTCTAAGGCAGGTCCCTCTCAGATCTCTTGGCTGATTGGGTGCCTCCTACATGGGCCTTCTTAGACCAGAGAACCACCTCAGCTGTGTTTCCCTTGGACAGCAGAGAACCCCTAGCCTAGGCTGACCCATTTGCTTGCCTCCTCTGCCACAACCCAGGCCTCCTCTTGGGCCAGAGGTAAGCTTAGTACTTTCCTTCCATCTGTTGGTTCAAGTCCTAATCGTTGAGGTCCTGTGTACCAGGTCCAGGGCTGGATCAGGATGGGGAGATATAGAGAAAAAGAATACCCACTTCTGCTCAGTCTGGAGGGAGAGACACAAAGGACAAGGTAGGAAGTACATGGGGAGGGGCAAGCTAGGCAGAGTAAGGCTTGAAGAGAGCAGATCAGTCTGATTCTATGGGCAGTCTCAGGCTGCTTCCTGCAGGAGGTAGCGTTAAAGTGGACATTGGTAGGCAGAGAGGAAGAGAAAGGGCATGCCAGGCACAGGGATGTGAAGTAGGGGCTTGGGCATGGACCAGTGAGAAGTCCGGGGTGGCTGAGATATCAGTGAGTAGAGTCTTTGGGGAGATGAGCCCCATTGGGCCTAGGACTTGGGGGGTCAGTTAAGGAACTTGAACAATTTTAAGGGAAGTAGGGAGCCATGGAGAGATTTTTCTTGGGAGGGAGGGCATGGTGAGATTTGCATTTTAGAAAGATTACGCTTGGATTGGAGGGGAGACTGGGGGCAGGGAGATCATGAAGAGGGTGTTGGGAAGCCCAAGTGACAGGTGGTGAGGTCTGATCCTGGGTGGTGAAAGGTGGAGAGGTGGGGGGGGATCAGAGAGGTATTAGTGTCATGGGATCTGTTACGGGAGGTAAGGGAAGAAAGAAGGGACAAGACACACTTCTTTCTTCTGGTTCAGTGACTTGGAGGGATGGTGAGGCCACCTCTGATATGGCCCCCAAAGAGGAGAAGGAACAAAGTCAGGAAGAATGAGCCAAAGTCAGGTATGAAATATTGGCTATGGGTGCTTGTGGGACACCCAGATAGATGATCTATCCTGGTGGGCAGGAGAGAGAGAGAGAGAGAGAGAGAGAGAGAGAGAGAGAGAGAGAGAGAGAGAGAGAGAATGTGCTGTGGAGAAATGGAGATGCAACAGGTGTTAAAGAAGCATGAGGACCACATGGAAGGAGCAGATATATCCCTGATCTGGGCCAACAAGGACCCTCCTCCCCGGGTCTCTTCCTACTCCCCCTCCTTTCCCACTTTCCTAGGGAGATTTAGACATCCTGGCAGGGCTGAGGACAGGCTTTGGAGGAATCCCAGGTGTTCCTAAGCCAGCCCTGTCCACCTGCCTCTTTGGAGTCCATCCCTGTTCATGAACTTGACTCCAAGCTCAACACTACTGACTATACTGGTCACCTTTCCATCACTCAGTTAAAATACCTCATATGTACAACTTAAAGAAAGACAGGTTTATTTTGGCTCAGTTTGTGGTGGAGGAAAGCTTCTTACCTCATAGTAGTTGGGAAGCAAATAGAAAAGAAAAGAATGAGAGAGATATAGAAAGAGAGGGAGAGGGGTGAGAGAGAGAGAGAGAAAGAGAGAGAGAGAGATGAGTTGGTGTCAAGATATTCCCTTCAAACACATACCCTCAGTACCTTCCTCCAACTGAGCCCCACCTCCTAACAGCCCATTCGGCTATAAATTCATCAATAGGTTGCTCCAGTGATGAAGTTAGTATCTTCATGATCCAGTCACCCCTCTATGCTCCACATATGAACATTACTGATTTAGGGATCCAGCCCCCAGTACACAAATCTTTGTGGAACACTTCATATGTAAACTGTAACACTGACTAACTCATTGCCAGCCAGGGGTACGAGGTACAATGTTTTTCCTCCTAAATTGGTGGCTCCAAAGACTCTCCGTGGCCCGCATGTAAAGGTTTGGACATCTCCCTGAGAACTGGTATAAGACTTGGTCTTAGAGAGAAAACAAAAAGTATACATTATATGCAAAGAAAGAGGGCAATACTGACCACTAAGGAACCATGTATTAATGGTGGAATTGAAGGCACCAGTAGGTAGGAGTGTGTGTGTGTGTATTTGTGGACCTGAACTATGATGCCATTCCCCATGTGGTAAAATGCAGGGCCAGAGATGCAGGCTGACAGAGGCTGTGAAGGAGCTGGCCTTCTAGAGCTCAGAATACTTGGGCATTTCTTGGCACAAAGAAGGTGGCCAGATAAGCTCTTCCCTAGCCCTGGGATTGGTTCCCAATCCTGGAGTTATCTACTCCAAGGGACAGAAATGCAGGAGAAAGGGCTAAGTGCTGTCTGCATACCTGAATTAATAACACCCAGGTGACCTAGGCTAAAGGTAGGAATAAACAATCAGCACCTGCAGCAGGTAGAAGCCCAGATGTCACGTGGCCGAGACCGTACTGTGTGGTTATGATGGTGGGTGGGAAGTGGGTGTGCATGGTAAGCAGGGCAGTCATGGTTCAGGGTCTCAGGCGCTTGTAGTTGCTTTGCCCAACAGTTAGGTCCTTGCTAACCATAGAGTTCTCCCAGCCTGGCTCTAATTACTCTTCTCACATCCTGTGCCCCTTTCTCAGCATAGCCCTTCCATTCCTGCCCTGGAAGATTTTCTCTTGCTGCTTTCTTTGCTTCTGGGCTTTCCCTAAACCACAGGCCCACTCAAGACCCAGATTGTATCCTACCATGGAAAAGCAGTCTTCCCCATCAGTGTCCTATCCTTTGCCCTTCCCTTGAGCTCCTATAGCCCAGTCCCTCTCCAGAGAGGTGGAAGCTGTCATCAGAATGATGTCTTGGCCCTGCTTGAGGTCTCTGAGGATGAGGTTCCTGGAATGGTCATGTGTTCCCTCCCTGCCCCCTAAAAAGTGTCCTATCATGAGCACCCGGGTAGTTTTGAGTAAGGGGACAGGTCAATGAAGGAGTAGGCTGGAAAATGAGAGGAGTGGGTAAGCTGACAGGTAAGCAGCCTCGTGGCCCAGCCCAGCCACTCAACACCCATGAGGGTATGGCGTGGTGAAATGATGCTTCTCCTTTTTCCTTGGGCCCCTGGCCTCAGGCATGGGCTGGACAGATGTGCTCATGACCTGGCTTCTTAGACCATCCTGAGATCTCTGTGGAGCCTTGTAAGAGGCTTAAGAAGTCAGGAAGGTGGAGAAAATACAAATAACTCCTTTCCAGCTCCTTGAGCAAGACTGGGCTTAGGAGAAGTGAGAGCTTTGGGAAACTGAGAGTACAGTAAGAGTCACACGAAAGATGCAACCTTCCAGCAATGTTTACAGATTAGGGTTGTGTTGATCTGTTTGTGCACTAGTCCTGTCAGCAGATATCTCCAATTATCCACCCCGTCTACCCTCCTGACTACTCATTATCCATCCATCCATCCATCATCTATTATCTACCCGTCCACTTATCTATCCATCTGTCTGACCAGCCATTCTCCCTTCTGCTCACTTATCTTTCCCTCATCACCTATCCTCCAACTCATTTGTTCAGTGAGGTCTTCTGATTGTCACCATCACTGTTGGAGAGTCCAGGAAGATTCTAGGGAATCAAGGATGATGCAGTTGTAGTCCCTGCCATTGAGGAACATATAGGAGAGGATAATGTATAGGCTGGAGCCAAAAATGTGGCCCCATGGCACGACACTGTGGTCTTCCCTAGGGACCAGTTCTGGCCAACCCACTGGAACAATGGTTCATTTTAACATTGTATTTCTGAGCTTCAGGAGCAATGCCTGGCACATTGTAGGTGCTTGACAGGGGCCAGACCACTGTCTTAGAGAAGAACAGCATGGATTGTGGTTTGGACACCAGCCATCACATTCTCTGATCAATTTGGCTTCTACCCTGGGGAGTGACCATGGATGAGCTGCTTCTGCACATCAAGTTTCAGTTGCCTAATCTGTAGAATGGGACCAGCATCCTTTCTCTGCTGCTGTCCTTCTGAACTTCATACAGCTGGATTGCCCTTTGGGAGTTCTTCCAGGGTTTTGTGAGGAAGAGAGGGAGCATGGTGGTCATTCTGGGCCTGGGAAGAAAGAAAGCAGGCAGCAAAGCAGCCTGTGCACGGGGAGAGAGGCCTGGCAGCTAGGAGGCCACTGTTCTGGAGAGGTCACAGGGTAGACAACCATGCTGCAGCGGTTGCTGCAACTGAGGTCGCTCAGTGTGATCTTCCCCCTCGTAGCTGTCACCAGAAGGCTTGAGTGTGCAATTGCAGTTTCCAAGGTCATGCATGTCTGCATTTGGGGTGTGTCTGCAGGTGTGGCTGGGCTGTGCCTAGCCAGGAATCATGTCTCCAGTGCTCCAGTGTGGATCTTGCCTCTCCTGGGGCAGTGTTTCCCCTTCTGTGGAGCTCAGCCGGGTCACAGGGGCCCAGACCCCTCTCTCCCCTCCCAGGCCCCAAGGAGAAGCTGACTCCAGGCCCTGTCTTTCCCTTCCACTGCCTAACCCGGTTTCTGGGTTTTCCTTCTTGATGATGGAGGTTCCCAGCCCTAATCCCTGACCTCTCAAGTCCTCCCTGCTCTACAGCAGCCTTCTCAGCCCATTTTCTATTGTGAGAAACAGCACAGGTGCTGATCAAGGTAGTTGAGAGTAAAGAAGCAGCCAGACTCCTTCAGGAGCTGGAAAGGCGCCTGTGGAGTGGTCTAGAGGCTTCTCTCTGGGGCCTTCACTTCCTACCTGCATTCTGAGGGGCAGTGGGGCAGGAAGGGGGATCTAGCTCTTGTTGCTCTCTTCCAACCTTTGAAGAGCCTTTCATACCTGGAGGCAGCTGCGGTCCTCAGGTGTTAGGCACTCACCCCAGGGGTGACTCTTAGGGTCATCTAACTAGTATTTCTAGAAACAAGAGTCACCCAGGCTTTGCCACATCCCTGTGAGTGGCCTTAGGCAAATTGTTTTACCCTGGAGCCTTCCAGGGCCAGCTGTGAAATGTGAACGAGGAGAGTGCCCATACCTAGGCCTGCTGTGAGGGCTGGGTGAGACTGGCACAGAGTTGGCTGAGGGTGAATGGTCAGTGTGGCTGTGACACACAGGTGGACAGAACCTGCCCCAGCTCTAATGACTTTGTCTGGGCATTCCCTCAGCGCTCACTTCTTCCTGGAGATAGAAGGGTTTGAGCCCAACCCCACTATTACCAAGACCTCCCCGCCCATCTTCTCCAAGCCAATGGACTCCAATATCCGACAGTGGTGAGTACTGGCTCTGGCCAAGCCCTCTGCTCCAGCAGGTGGCCAACGGTGTGCCCTGGACCATCACTGTGGCTGTGGCATGCTGCCATTGTCTATTTTAAAATTTGTCCTCCCCATTCCCCCTACTTCCAGCCTCTCTGGTAACTGTGAAGACATGGACTCCCCTCAGTCTCCTCAGGATGATGTGACTGAGACTCCTTCCAATCCCAACAGTCCAAGGTGAGTCAGGTCCTTCCCCTCTTCCCATTGGGCCCACCAAAGGCAGTGTCAGAGGGACAGGCTCCAGGGACCTACAGGAAAGGAAAAGAAGCCACCATTTATGAGGTGTTAGGACAAATGTCTGGAGATCTGGACCCATGTACAATGATACTCTTTCATTATAAAACATTCAAAGCCTTCCCTTAGTCCTATATTTTGAGGTAGTCACTATGAACAGTTTGACATATACCTTTCTTGATCATTCCCCCATGTATCTAGATATGTGTTTCAATACATGTGATTGCATGTGGACAGGAACAGGAGTCTGACAGGGCAACAGGGAGTCCAGGGCCAGAGCACGCATGCAGGGATGGCAGGCATTGTGAGTCATGTGAGATGTTAGAGGGCTAGTGTTTGGCCCTGGGGGGCCAGTGGCTCTGATGGGGAAGAAAGAGTGGGGGGGGTGAGTTGGAAACATTTTCTAGCCTTAGTGCAAACCAGGCCAAGGAAGAGCAGAGGCGGAAAAAGAAGCGGCTAAAAAAGTGCATCTTCACGGCTGTGTCTGAGGGCTGCGTGGAGGAGCTGGTAGAGCTGCTGGTGGAACTGCAAGAGCTTTGCAAACGTCGCTGTGGCCTGGATGTGTCGGGTTAGTCCCTGGTCCTGCAAGAGGATTCAGGTCTGGGGGTCCCCATTTGACTCTACTTGGCTCCTGCTCTGTCTCTTGTGGGCCTGGAGTGTGAATGCTAGTGACCTTGAACTTGACTCTGAAAGCAACAGGGAGCCATGGATGGGCCTGGACAAGTGAGGGTCATGGTCTGGCTAGTGCATGGAGGATGGGGTAAAACTGGAGAAGGCTGCTAGAGAAGCAGGATTGAGACTCTGAAGCAGGGCTAGAGGAGGGGGAGACCGTTCTGGAGAGTTCTTCAGGCAGAACTCCAGGACATGGGAAGTGAGGGAGAGGGAGGAGTCCTTGGTAGTGCCATTTGGATATGGGTAACTTGGTGGGGCCCTGACTGTCCAGGGGATCAGGAGAGAAGCAGGTTGTAAGGGAGAGGATAAGTTTTATAGGCCTTGAAGAGGAAAGAGCCAGGGTGGGAATGGAGATTCCAGGGTGTCAGCACTGAGCTGGACAGTGGGAAGCTAGGCAGGGATGAGACTGCCCCTAAAAGGGAGAAGACGCACACGGTGAGAACCAAAGGCCTTGGATAGGGCTCTCATGGGCAGGAAGAGGGAAGAAAGAACCAGAGGAAGAACAGTTGAAGAGGAAGGAGGAGTCCAGGGAGTGTGGGGTCAGGGAGACTTGTGCAGAGGGGATGGAGCAGAATCTTGAGGTGTGAGGCTGTGGCTCCCACCTCTTTCAGGCTGGGGGGGTCAAGGGTGGCCACTCAGTCCTGCCTGTGCCTCTATCCTGTGACCTGCCTGCAGACTTCCTCATGCACAAGCTGACAGCCTCAGACACAGGGAAGACCTGCCTGATGAAGGCCTTGCTAAACATCAACCCCAACACAAAGGAGATTGTGCGTATCCTGCTCACCTTTGCAGATGAGAACGACATCCTGGACCAATTCATCAATGCTGAGTACACTGAGGAGGCCTACGAAGGTACCCTGCCCAAAGGGGCTGTGGGGTTTCCAAGGCCACTGCCAGCCATGCCACACAGAGGCTTTGCTGCCAGCAAAAAGCCCCAGCATGCATCTCTTGTCCTTTCTTCTTTCTGCAAATGACTGCGAGTAATAGACATTGTTGTTTTTTTTGGTACCAGGGATCAAACTCAGATCCTTGCGCTTGTGAGGCAGGTGGTGGAACCACTGAGCTAAATCCCTGGCCTCTAGGCATTGTGGTTGATACTGGGGTATGGTGGGGGAACAAATCAGATTAAGGCCACTACTCTAAGGTAATTTTAGACAGAAAATTCTATGAAAATAAAATAAAAGAAGGTAATGGGGCAGAAAGAAACTGAGAATGGGTAACTTTAGAGTGGATGGACACAGAGGCACTTTGAACTTCGGGATGAGAACGATCTAAAGCAAAATGAGGACTGAGCCTGGCATGTTCCAACCATGCAAAGGAGGCTGGAGAGCCAGGCAGGGGCCAGTAGAAGGCAACTATTTGTGTCATTATCACCATCATTAACTGTCTCCTTTGGGTGTCAGTTTTGTGGCTTCCCTTGTAGGTGGGTCATGGAGACAAAATTTGGGCTAAGACTGGGAAGAGTGAAGAGAGCTAGGCTAGCAGTACGACGCCCTGGCTTTGATTCCTAGCACTGAAAAAAAAAAAAAAGAGAAAGGGAAATCCATTGTGTCTAGACTATAAGAGGTGTGCTCAAAGGGGTCATCTGAGGTTATGCAGTCAGTAACTGCCCATTAAGGTTCAGTACTTTGGTAAAAATGATGTCTCATGATTGGCCATCCAGCTGATATGCCAGGGGCCACTAAACATTGCAGTTTTTCCAGGTAGGAGTCTAGCCTGGGCCTTGACCCTTCTCATAGGACAAAGTCATTCTGACTCATTATTTGAACTCTACAGACTTTCAAACAGGATTTTGTTATATATAAGAAAAATCCAAGGATTGTGATAACCTAGAAGAAATGCAGGGAGGGAGAAGAAACCCAGGAAAGATTGCTGTAATTGAGTGGTGAATGCACACAGAGCTGGCTGGTAGTCAAAGCAAAGAGAGAGACTGGATGAGTCATGTAGTGTTCTTAGCCTGTCACAAGGGAGTTGACACTAGTCCTGCAGACAGCAAGGTGTCAGACCAGTGTCTCAAGCTTGCTCGTCCTGATCCTATTCCCTTGACAGTCTCTTGTGTTCTCTCCTTCTTGTCAGTACTGCAGGAACATACATATGTGCAGGCTGGCCTTGTACTCACTGTGTAGCCCAGGTTGGCCTCAAACTCGTGGTGATCCTCCTGCCTCAGCCTCCTGAGTGCTGGGATTACAGGTTTATACCACTACCCCCATTCAGTGGGCTCTGAGGGCAGGGATTCTTGGATATCCTTGAGGACAGGGTGGGATGAAGACAGTCTGCTGCCCAGAGGTGATTCACTAGTGCTCCTGGGGTCTCACTTGGGCGACTCTGGATTTTTTTGTTTGTTTGTTTGAGTGAACGAATGGAAGTTACTAGTGTCTCTATTAAGGCTTTGCTGCCCTGGCCTCAGATCCTTACCTCTCTCTTTTCTCAGTCTCCCCTTGCCTCCTTCTCCTTTCTCAAATTTGCGTCTTGCCAATGGGCTTGCAGCGGGCGACACTCTGGTCTCTGAGAGGGGAAGAACAGTTGCTCCTGTCTTCCCAGAAACCCACGTTACGGCCACCACTTTACTCTTGATGTTATTACCATGGGTGATTTAAGGCAGTCCGCACTCCCTGGGGCTGAGGGGCTTCAGGGCCAGCGGGCCTGGTGTCTCCAGGGTCCCCTGCTCTAAGTGAAGCCCCCTGCACATCCCCGTCGTCGGGTCCATAGGGCAGACGGCACTCAACATCGCCATCGAGCGGCGCCAAGGAGACATCGCCGCTGTGCTCATCGCGGCGGGTGCCGACGTCAACGCCCACGCCAAGGGGGTCTTCTTCAACCCCAAGTCCCAGCACGAAGGCTTCTACTTCGGTAGGTGCAGCCAGGCCTATGGGAGGGGATGAAGGGAAGGGGAGTGGGGAGGGGGAGGAAGGGGTCGCTCTGCGCTCTGCTGGACAGAAGGTCCCTGTCCCAAGTGGCGCTGGCGGGGTGGAGAGCCCTCTCCTGGGTAGATGGTCTGAGCCTGATGGGGAGGCGGCTGGGGGTGACCCATCTGAGAAGACCCCAGGGCCAACCGGAGAGCGGGGTTTGGGAGGTAGGGTGGGGTGCTGCGGTGTCCCCTGATGGCCTTAGAGGGCATATGGGCATCCGCCTGGGCAGCCAGAGACCTGAAGGGGAATCAAGGGGGATCTTTACAGGGAAGCAGTGGTTCAGGTGGGGCGACGACTTGCTTTGCCTAGTAAGGCCTTGGGCTTGGTGTAGGTGAATGTCCTAGCTTCCAACTCTGGCCTCTCAGGACTGTAGACAGGGAGTAACAGGTGAGAGGAGGAAAATTTCGGACCCACAAATTGGGGAGTCTCAAAGCAATTGGAATCAGATATGTCAACTTAAAAAAAAATCAGAGAGTCTCCAAAAAATACTGATACTTATTTGAGAAGAGTAGAGCTTTGCAATGGGATGCCATAGCAAACGAAAGGTGTATTGGCTGAAGAAAGCCCAAGTTCTTAAAGACAGAAACAAGGAGGGTTACATCAGATATTTTGAAACAGTAATCTTTGGCCACAGTAATTAATAACAAGAGCAGAGTCAGTCCAAGGGTGGACAGAAGGCAGGTCTCGGGTAGATGTCTTTGTATAAGTACTTTCTGCGTAAGGTCACTGTGGCCTCTATGCAATTTGTGGCTCTGGCAGTCTATTGTTGATAGTTACTCTCAAGACATCATGTGTAAACGGCCCTCTTTCTTAACCTCCCACCTTTATCTATTTTGGGGGGTTTTTTGGATGGGATTGACGCAAGCGATTTCATTTTGATTCTGTCAAGGGTCACGTTTCTTTCACAGATGTTCTGATTGAAAAAAGTTCAAGTGTATGATTTAGATATGGTGAAATTCTCCCACTTTAGTGTATCAAGTGCTGTTACTTTCACAAATGCTTAGATTTGTGTGACCACCACCAGACTCCATTAGGGGCTCCATTAGGCCAAAACAATTTCTCCAAGCAATTTATACAAAATCCCCCCCACCCCCTGTTTTTTTTTTGGCACCAGGGATTGAACTTGGGACCTTGTGCTTGCAAGGCAAGCAGCAGAACCACTGAGCTAAATCCCCGGCCCCACAGAAATCCCTTTTATCCCACCCCAGCTATTATCCACTAACCGCTGATTTGTTTTCTCCCCTGGGTGGCTTTTTAATCAGTAGGACTAGATTGGTCTGGATATCCTGGAGGACAGGGTGAGAGGAAGAGGGGGCCAGGAGGGAAGCAGGAGCCCTGGCACCCAGTCCTAGTGCTGCTCCAGGTGTGTGAGACCACTTGGGAGTCTCTCGTCTTCTCTTTTCTTAGCAAAAATGTATCAGGTACTTACTATCTGCATCAGGCCATGTTCTAGGTGCTTGAAATGTATCATAAACAAAACAAAGGTCTCTGCCTTCATAGGACTTATATTCTAGGTGTGGAGAAAGACCATCCATAATAAACATTATAAATAAGAATTTATAGACTATGTTATAAAAAGGCAAGTGGTATTGAAAAACATGTGACGTAAAGCAGAGGAAGAGGAACTGGAAATTCTGTCTGGAATTGGGAGGGAGGAAGACTTTCAATTGTAAATAAGGTGACATTTGAACCAAGAATCAAAGGAAGTGAAAGGGTGGGCAATGTGATGCAGATCTATACAGGCAGAGGGAGCAGCCTGTGCAAAGGCCCTGAGGTAGGAAAGTGCTCAGTGTATTTGAGGAAAAGGAAGAAGGGCATTGTAGGGGAGGTGGTTAGGAGATATTGGGCTTTGAGGACTGTTTTGGAACTTGGGTTTTTATTCTGTGTAAGGTTGAACATGTGAACAGAGTCAGTCCAGCTGCTGTGCTGAGGACAAAGTGATGGAGAGCCAGAGGGTAGGTGGTGGTGGTGGGGACCAGGAGACCAGTTAGGTAGCCATTGCAGGGATCTAGCATTGGCCTTCCCTGTGACAAGGAGCAGATAAGAAGGTCAGGTAATGTCAGGAGCAGTGCTGCTGACATGGTCAGTTTATGGGCTTTAATCCTGAGCCTGGGAGACACTGCCTCTGGCTCATGGAAGGACCGAGCCCTAGTGCTCCCTTTCCTCCAGGTGAGACGCCCCTGGCCCTGGCGGCATGCACCAACCAACCTGAGATTGTGCAGCTGCTGATGGAGAATGAGCAGACGGACATCACTTCGCAGGACTCTCGGGGAAACAACATCCTGCATGCACTGGTGACGGTGGCTGAGGACTTCAAGACCCAGAATGACTTTGTAAAGCGCATGTATGACATGATCCTGCTAAGGAGTGGCAACTGGGAGCTGGAGACCATGCGCAACAATGATGGCCTCACACCGCTGCAACTGGCTGCCAAGATGGGCAAAGCCGAGGTGGGGCCATGGCTGCAGGGTGGCCAGAGGTCAGGGAGGCACAGCTGCCCCTCTGCCAGCCCTGGGGCCTTTCTGAGGATCCCACAGTCCACAGCCTCAGCCCCCGGAAGGTTCCATCCTTAGGTCTAGAATGGAGTTGTAGCTCCAGGTGGGTTTACTCTGAGTAACCACACGGAGCCAGGGACATGCACCCTGTGGATTCCTACTCTGGATTTTGATCCCATACTCTGTGGCTCTAACTCTTGTCCTGGGACTTCCTTGCTGGGTCCAGACTGGGGTAGCCCTGAAGCTGAGGTGACACATATCTCATATGCTTTGCAGCTGAGCATTCCTACATGGTGAAGCACCCAAGCAGAGCCTGGGTGTCTGACCCTTGAGTTCTTTGGCTTCTTATGAGGGCAGGAATTTTGCATGGCTGTTCTGGATCCAGAGCCAATGGGCTGCTTCTCTGAGGTTATGGAGAGACCCCAGCCTGTGGATCAGGACAGAACTCCTAGCCACAACATCTCTAGCAAAGAGTGTGGCTGCAGGCCCTTTTGCCTTCTGTGATGTGTCTGAAAAACTGAGAGCCGAGAGCTGAGAGCTTTGGTGAAGACTTGGGCTGTGCTGGGCTCAGATCTTTTTTTTTTTTTTTCCATTAATTTTATTGGTACATTTTAGGAAATCAATATGGAGACACCTCAAACAACTAGGATTGGAAGTCCCCTTTGACCCAGCTATTCCCCTGCTGGATATCTTCCCCAAAGAATTAAAAAGAATCATACCACAGTGATATATGCTCATCCATGTTCATAGCAGCACAGTTTGTAATAGCTAAAGCTTGGAAACAGCCCGAGTGCCCATCAACTGGAGACTGGATAAAGAAGATGGGCTCAGATCTTTATCAGTGACTGGAGCTGTGTCTTGGTCTGAGATCAAAGACAAGGCTCAGGTGCTTCTCGGGACAGATCCAGGCATCTGAGCCTTTTCTGCAGCCTCCGAGACTGGGAGGGGTCTGTGGTTCTGTGGAGGCTGCCAGAGAACACTGTGTACCCACCCATCTCCCAAGTCAGCTGCCCTGAGGGCCTTGGGTCTGTCCCAGTGGCTAGGGCTGGGGACCATAAGGGATCTTTTTATTCTCTCATGGAGGGAGGAAGAGTTGGAGAATAGCTGCAACAGAGACGGAGTTGTGTGCCTGCCTCCTTTCCCTTCACCTCCCATCCCCAGGTCATAGCTTTCTGGGGCTTTGAGTCAAGTCAGATGGTGATTGTAGATTGAGCTTCCTCTAAGGGCTTCACCCCTCCCTGTCACTGTGATGTGTGCTCTCCCTGCTTTCCCAGCCCAGGGAGGATGCTTCCTGCGTGGAGATGGCCCAGGACCCCAACCCCCATTCAGTGGCTGACAGTTGTTCCTCTTCCTGTCTCCAGATCCTGAAGTACATCCTCAGTCGTGAGATCAAGGAGAAACCGCTCCGGAGCCTATCCAGGAAGTTCACAGACTGGGCATATGGGCCTGTGTCATCCTCACTCTATGACCTCACCAATGTGGATACCACAACAGACAACTCTGTGCTGGAAATTATTGTCTACAACACCAACATTGATGTGGGTCTCCTGCATGGGCCAGGAGGAGCAGGGAGCAAGGGCTAGACATCAGGCCAGGGGCTCAGGGGGCACTGGAAGGACCTGATGCAGCAGCCCCACAGTGTCTGTGGTCTCCCAGTCCTTTGTCTCAGTGGCAGAGCCAGGCACAGGAAGGTCAGGGCCTGGGGCAGAAGCTGGGCTCAGGTGTTCCTGGGCAACCTCAGATTGTAGACCCTAGCATTAGGGTTTTTTTGGGTCCCAGAATCCTGGCATGTTTGAGTATGGGTGAGGGTGGATGGTGTTGATCTTCTCCATCTTGTTTCTCTCACATCTCCCCTGCTGGTTTATACAGCCTGGCTTGGAATCCTTTCTTCTCCCAGTTCTAGTTCCACATGAAGGTCATGGAGTACACAGCTGGAGCAATTCAAGGGCCTTCCTGGAGGAGCCTGGAGAGGGGAGATAGTAAAGCTGGAGGTGAAGAGAAAGGGTCAACTCCAGGAGATTTTCAGCTTTTGGGCAAAGCGAGGAAGCAGGCTGGGTCTTCATCTGTCATATCTTGCCAACAATTCTGCTTCCCAGAGCCTGCCTTGTCCAGGGTCTCCATGGACCTTCACAGCAGTCTGGTCGGGAGGACAGGGATTGTACAGTTTTATAGATGAGGATTCTGAGGCCTAGAGAGGATTAAGGGCTGTCCTGAGGTCACACAGGGAAGGGGGCAAATTGGAACTGGAATCTTTTCCTAGCCCTCACTGTGCATTAGATTCTCTTGCCGGAAGTCCCAGGCTCCTGGGGGATTTGGCTGCTGCCAGCACACACTGGAAAGAGCCCCAGGAGCTGGAAATTACCCTCCCAACATTTCCAGCTTAACCAGTCCACAGCACATCATGACTGGCCCTGTTCTGCCTGGAGCCCCAGTGACTCAGAGCTCCTTTGCAAACAGCCCCTCCCTGCCTCCTTCATCTCCATGGTGACTGGTGGCATTCTACTCCCCCAGAACCGGCATGAGATGCTGACCCTGGAGCCCCTGCACACTCTGCTGCATATGAAGTGGAAGAAGTTTGCCAAGTACATGTTCTTCCTGTCCTTCTGCTTCTATTTCTTCTACAACATCACTCTGACTCTTGTCTCTTACTACCGGCCCCGGGAGAAAGAGGTATGTGGGTCTTGGGGATAGATAGGGAGGTCAGAGCTGGCGTAGCTTGGAGCTGCCCCATTTATAGATAGGGAAACCGAGGCCCAGAGAGGCCAAGAGATTTGGATGATGTCCTCCAATAGTCATCCTTCAGAGTTCCTGGGGAACTGAATACATCTTTGGAGGTTAGTAGGGATAAGCTCTATATGCTCAGCCCTGGGCGCTCAGCCCCAGGCTGACTCAGGTTACAGGGAGAGTTGAGGAATTAGGAACTCCAAGCTCTGCCAGGATTTCTGTCTGACTCTAGAAAGGATTGGGTGTTTCTGCTGTGAGGGTTACAGGAAATGTGTGTGTGTGTGTGTGTGTGTATGTGTGGTATGATTGGTTGGTCAACCTCCTCAAGACTTTGGGCATTGGTTTCCCATCTATCACTGGGGCACAGTCTGGGCTTTATTTACCCGTGTTAGGAGGTAATGTGTGGTTCTGGGAAGGACAAACGGAGCATATGGGCTTCTTAGCACAGACTGGTTTGATCTCCTAACCAGGGAGTTCTGAGTTCTCATTGAGGGAGGGGGCAGCGATGCCATACCTTCTCTTGCCCTCTATGGAGCTAAGGTTTCATGCTGCCCCTGGCCCAGCTTGAGGTTGTGCCTATACGTCACAGTTCCTCTGGAGGGACACTGCCCTTCCTGCTGACTCCCATGCTGTCTTCCTTCCTTCCTTCCTTCCCAGGACCTCCCACACCCGTTGGCCCTGTCACACAAGATGGGGTGGCTTCAGCTCTTAGGAAGGATGTTTGTTCTCATCTGGGCAACATGCATCTCTGTGAAAGAGGTGAGTGAACATCTAAGCCCTTCCAGACTGCCCTGCGAGGCAGGCAGGGTGAGAATTGCTTGGCTCCCAGCGTTCCCTGCTCTGCCAACACTGCTGGGGACTTTGGAGAGGAATTTTGTTTCTAAACCTTAGATTCCTGAGTTATAACACAAGAGCAAATGAGTGAGGAAGGCCTATCCTACTTATGTCACCCCCTCCATCCAGCCATCCAACCATCCACTATTTATCTATACTTCCAGCCACTCACTGTCCATACTCCTCTCCTAAATCCTGTCCACTGATCTGATCACCTACATCCATTCACATATCCATGTAGCCTTACCTGCCATCCTTCTATTCATTATCCAACCATCTTTCCATCTATCCATCCATCCATCCATCCATCCATCCATCCATCCATCGATCTGTCAGTTCAACCAATTAACCACTGAATTAACTGATATATTCTGAGCACTCTCTCTGTGGGGCTCTGGAGGAGGTGGTAGGGATGGGGGAAGTGTTTCCTCTTTGAGTTCACAATCCAAAAGGGATGTTATATGGGCACAAACATCTAGATTTTAAGGTAGACTTTGAAAAGGTCCCTGAGTTGGGTTCATACCAGTGCTTAGAGGAAAGGAGATAACTTTTGTCTGGAAGCAAGGGAGGGAGGAAAGCCTTAAAGATAGAGATGACACTTACTCTGTAAGGGTAGGGTAGGGTATGAGGGTGTTGGGGATAATGAACAGCACGAACAGAAAATTTGGCCGTATTTGGGAAATGGTAGGTAACTGTAGTGGTTGGTTTTGTAGGTTCTGTGGTGAGGATAGGGATGAAGAATTAGAGAGGTAAGAAGATTTGAGGGAGGATTCACCATCACTGTGAGGTAACCTTTGTTTTCCAGGCACAGGTCCCTTCCCTCCCTGGGCTCTGGCCAGGCCTTCACATACTCACCCTGCACTGAGTTTCAGTCCTGGGGAAGCACCCCCTTCCCACAGTCTCAACCGAGGGGGATGGAGAGGGTGCAGTTTTTCTTTCCTCTCTGCCCATAGGGCATTGCGATCTTCCTGCTGAGACCCTCAGATCTGCAGTCCATCCTGTCGGATGCCTGGTTTCACTTCGTCTTGTAAGTAGGTCTGTCCCCTTGGTCACCACCTCCCAGGCAAGGCCAAAGTTCTCTTTTGTGGCTACTATATCCCTCTGGAACATCACCTACCTAGTAAGGGAGGCACACAGATACCTGTGGAAAGGATCAGAAACTCCCAGGACAGTGCCCAGTGTCTGGTGGCAGTGATGGCTGACTCCACCGTCACAGAGCCCCAGGAACATGGAAAAGGCATGAGAAGGATTAGCAGTCCTGTTCACTTTTTTACAAAACAATGTTCCAGGGCAGCCTTTCCTAGTTACACAGGGCCTCAGAAAGTCGCCATCTGGGACCTTGGCAGACTAGAATTGAGAGGTACCTGAGAAAGTACTGAGCCTTGTGTATAGATACCCTGAAAGATCTCAGAGCAGCGAAGGGAGTTCCCACAATCTTATGGTGCTTCAGTGGTGTGGAAGACCCAGACTCTTAGTCATCTGCACTCCCAGCTAGCGCAGGGTTGGGGCCACAGTGCCCCAGCCATAAAGCTCAGTTCTGAATGAGATCATGTGCAGCTCACGACAAAGTCTCATGTGACCTCCATCTCTAAGTGAACAGAGGCTGATTCAGCTTTACTGCTGTGGAAATGGAATAGAATCTGCCGCTTGGGGTGAGGAATGCTGGGCTCCTCAGCGGTGTCCACCCTACTGAAATCTCTCCTCTGAGCATGTAGGAGGTTGGTCTATGGGACTGAGAATCTTGGCCTGATGTTTCCAAATGCCTAGGTGTTTCATTATGTGTGTATCTGCCTTCCAGATACATGAACAGTTCTTCATCCCTGTGGGCAGGTGGGGTACCCAGATACTGCAGTAGATAGTTGGGCAGCTGTGACACTGCCCCATTATGTAAGACACATGGGCATCTGTCACCTTTGAGGATGTATGATGATTCCAGGAAAACATCTATTTCTATATGCAGTGGTTTTAGGGCATTGTCCTGCTCTTTTGCTCCTCATTTATTTTGCTAAGGTAGAGGAAGGTGGTAACATCTTTCCTCATTTCAGTCCCAAATGTAGTTGATCAATCAGATGTTTTTTCTTCATGGCACCAGAAAAACAAGCTTGCCTGTGTCCTAACTTTGATTAGCTTGTAATTGTGGAAACTCCCTGATGTTATAAGCAAGAGTATTTTTAATGAGATGTCTGCAAAAGTGGGAGTGTGTGCACTATTTAGGAGTACATTTTAATCTTGTATCTTCAGTATAGATTGTACTTTAAAAAATTTAATTATGGCAAAGTACACAGAACACAAACATTACCATCCTGACCATTTTTAAGTGTACATCTCAAAGCTGTGGAGTTAATTGACAATCTCTAGTATGCTTTTTTTTTTTTTTGTGCTGGGGATTGAACGCGGGACCTTGTACTTGCAAGGCAGGCGCCGGAACCACTGAGCTAAATCCCCGGGGCCTCTATTATGCTTTTAATCTTGCAAAATTGAAACTCTGTGCCTAGCAAACATCTCTCGATTCTCTCTTCCCTGGTAACCAACATTCTACTTTCTGTCTCTATGTGTTTGCCTACCCTGGGTATCATATAAATGGAGTCACATATTATTTTTTTTGTGTGACTAGCTCATTTCAGTTAGCATATATCATACTTTTTTTTTTAAACTGAAAAAGAGTAGGCTTTGGGGGAATTTTATTTTAATTGGCTTATAAGCATAAATAATGGCAGCTTTTGTTATTTTGGTTAAAAATGGAGTCATTCACCACATCCTTAGTCTACTCCAGTATCTCCCAAATCTAGGTGAGAATCATACATCGTATGGGTGATTTAAAGACTATTTATTGGCTCCTGGGCTGCATGCCAGAATCTGCTGGAGTCCTGGGAAGATCTGTATTTTTTTAAAAAAGTACCTATCAGCTTCAACTAGCTAACCACTGGCCTCAACTCACATCTGATGATGTCCCCTACAAAGCTGGAGTTCAGATGTAGTTGGATGGATCTGAGGCAGCCTTAAGTATCCAGTCAGAATTAGTCACCAGGGTGACCATCAGGGATTGAAGTTTGTGAAATCTGGATGTTTGTGCCCTGCTGCTGAGAAGTAAGTAAGGTCTGTCTCCTGTGTCTCCTGAACAGTTTTATCCAAGCTGTGCTTGTGATACTGTCTGTCTTCTTGTACTTGTTTGCCTACAAAGAGTACCTCGCCTGCCTCGTGCTGGCCATGGCCCTGGGCTGGGCGAACATGCTCTACTACACACGCGGCTTCCAGTCCATGGGCATGTACAGCGTCATGATCCAGAAGGTGTGTGGGAGCTGTGGATGGGGGTGGGGTAGGGCGCAGAGGGTGTTCGTTTTTTCAGATGGGAAATTGAGGTCCAGAGAATAGGGGCTTAACAAGGGGCAGCTCACTGCTCTTTCTTCTGAATGCCACAGTCTCCTTTTGCCTTTGGTCAGAATTTACATGTCCAGACCTTAAAATGCTCAGGTTTGTTGGGCATTGAGGAAGGACACACTTTTGTAAAAAAAAGTTCTCATCCCTGGGCAGTGGTGTGCTGGAAACTATTTAACAGTTGTTTGCTGTCACTGTGTGTATGGGAGTGTATACATAATATATATTATGTATATATATATATGTGTGTGTGTGTGTGTGTGTGTGTGCGTGCATGCATACATGTATATATGTGTGTGTATACAGATAACACACAGACCAGTACATTGCATATAGATATACAAACATGCATTTATTAGAAATTATAAAATTACAAATTTTAGCATACAAAGGATGTGTAACATACAATTTGCAAATAATAAAATATGCAATACACTTTATTGTAAATTCCATGTAACCGGTTGAATCTCACAGAATAATTTGTTGCTTTTATAGAATTTTTACATTCGTTGCCAGCCTTATGGTTGAATTTGACAAATTAATGTTGTTCTCTTCTGGAGTGAATGTTGGTTCATATTTTATAAGCAGTAAGATGAAAGTGAAACAGTGAAGATTTATGTTGAAACTTTACTTGTTTGTCAATGATGTGAGCAATTTCTTTGCTGAATTGGATAATTGTTTGCAAATACTAGAAGGATATCTTGTTAATATTTGTGTGTTATTCATAATGTAATGGTATAGAAGGACATACTTTATTTTATTTTATTTATTTTTTTGTTTTTTTGAGACAAGATCTCGCTATGTAGTTCAGGCTAGCCTCAAACTCCCTATGTAGCCTGGGCTGGCCTTGAACTCATGGCAATCCTCCTGCCTTAGCCTGCTGGGATTACAGGCATGTGCCACCATGCCAGGTGATTAGAAGGACATATTTAAAAATTTAATCTGCCTTAACATTTCTTTTATCACTGTCTTAAATCTAGATGTAGACATCAGCAAAACAGTGAGTCAATCTTTGATTTGTAGCATTTACCAATTTTCATGAAATGCTACAAATATTCCCCCCACAGGCAATTTCCAGCTACCACTGGACATCAATTTAGGAAGAGATGTGCAGTTATGCATCATTACAGCTTTTCCATCATACGGCTACAGTTGATGTAAGAAAACTCAAAGCATAGGTAGTTGAAAAATACAGTATATGAACTAGGAAGTGATCAGTTTTGAACATTTATTATCTTTGTTTGAAATATAATTTACTTAATTGTTTCTATGATTAAACTTTTAAACATGTTCTTAACAAGTTGTTCTCTGTCACTGTGTGTATGAGACACTATGTGTCTGTGTGCATGCACATGTGGATATATGTGTCATTATACAAATAATTATAAATTATACAAATAATTTCTTTTTTCCTCTGCTTTATTGATGTACAATTGATAAATAAGAATGTATAAACTTTAGGTGTACAGTATGAGGACTGGGTATATATTGTAAAATGATCACCAATTTCAAGTTGGTTAACACACCCATCACATTGCATAGTTTTCATTTTTGTGCATGTGTGGTAAGAACATTTAAGATCTCTCCACACATTTCAAGTATGCAATTTGATATTGTTAACTACAGTCATCATGTTTTACATTAGATCCCTAGAACTTATTCATCTTCTAACTGAAAGTTTGATTTAGTTCTTAATAATGGCTGTGTTGCCTTTATTAATGATAATGTAATAATTTATTATATATTAATTATTAATGCACAAAACTCATTAAAATTCAACAATCAGCTCTTGTGAACTGGCATGAGCTGGCTCCAGCATGCCACTGTCTGCAGAAGTGTGAGGACTCCAGGTGTGAGACCCTGTGGAGAAAGGTAGGGTGAGGCAGAGACTGAGTCCCAGGAGGGGGAAGAGAGAACCTGGGGCTGGTGCAGAACTGGAAGGCTTTCTGGGGGAGGTGGGCCCAAAACTGAGCCTGGGAGCATCAGGAGGAGTCTACTGGGTAAAGACAGAGTAGCCTGAGTGAAGGCAGGATTAGGGTGAGGGGCTAGGAGAGGGCAGGAGGAGGTAAGTAGATCAGTTTACAATGAATATGTATCCATATCTTACACTTGAATCATGTTTGTTTCTTTGTAGGTCATTTTGCATGATGTTCTGAAGTTCTTGTTTGTATATATCGTGTTCTTACTTGGATTTGGAGTAGGTAATTGATTCATAATTAATAACTCCCATAAGTATAAAGCACTTTATGCAGATGTTATAATTACAAAGCACATACCTAGCAGTGGGGCACCTGCCATTTTAGTATTTTCCAGGTAGTATCTTTTTTTTTTTTTTTTTGGTACCAGAGATCGAACTCAGGTCCTTGTGCTTGCGAAGCAGGTGGCAAAACCACTGAGCTAAATCCCCAGCCCTAGGCAGTATCTTTTTACTTCTGTCAACAACTTGATCAAGGAGGAATCATCACCCCTGGTCCCAAGGTAACTGAGGCACAGAGACTCAGGGCCATCATTCTTACCCATCCACGCTGTGTAATCTGCCACCCTCTTTCTTTTTTTAATATATATATTAATTGGTACATTTTAGGTATAAAATACATTTACATTTATCATTGGGTACTTGTACCTGTACATGATGTATCTTAGTTCTTATTTTTTCTCCCATTACTTGTGTGCCCTTCACCCCTCCACCCTTCCCTATTTACACAGACTTTGTTTCCATTTTTTTTTCTTTCTCATAATTTTTCCTTTCCCTTCTTCCCTTTTCCCTTCCCCTCCCGCCATCCCCAAACCCTTGGACCTTTTCCTATTTCAAATTATCAATTATTCATTTTAATCATTTTCATCCTTATTTACACTTTCAATTTCTCACACTAGAGATACTATTCGGTATTCACACATGTGTGTCCTATTTATTTCACTTAAGAGTGTGGCCTCAGTATGCATCCATTTGGATATAAATGTCTCTAGTTTCTCATTCTTTATGGCTGAGTAGTACTCCATTTTATTAAAAAACCACATCTTCTTTATCCAGTTTCCAGTTGATGGGCACTTGGGCTGTTTCCAAGCTTTAGCTATTACAAACTGTGCCGCTATAAACATAGGTGCACATATATCACTGTGGTATGATTCTTTTAATTCTTTGGGGAAGATTCCCAGTAGAGGAATAGCTGGGTCAAATGGGACCTCTAGTCCTAGTTCTTTGAGGTATCTCCATACTGATTTCCACAGTGATTGCACCAGTCTGCACTCCCACCAACAATGGAGAAGGGTTCCTTTCTCTCCACACCCCCACCAGCATTTGTTATTGGTTGATTTCTTGATAGCAGCCATTCTTTGCTGCCACCCTCTTTCATACTCATTGTTTCCTGTGGCCCTCAGATCTTGAGGCAGGCTTAGCAGGTGTTTTCAGCCTACTTTACAGATGAGAAAACTGAAGTGCACAGAAATTTGACTGATGACCTTCAGAAACAGTAGTACAGTAACACACTGGGGTAACATCCTTTGACCTTCCATATCTTGTTACCACCACAATTTGCTTCAGATAGGTCTGTGAGAACCTCACGTCAGCCAGGGACCAGGAATGGGGTGCCCCTTCTTTAAAACTTTCCATTTACAATGGACAGAATTGTATGACTTGATTTTATTTCTAACATCTGGATAGAGAGGTATGGTTCCCTGCTCCACCCCATGATAGTTTTTTTTTCCCTCAGTGATCATTGACATTTGAAATTAGGCAGCTGTTACCAACTGCCTGGTACCATTTCTGGGTTAAAATTTGCTCATTCACTGGCTCCTTCATCTGCTCATCCATGGATCCATGCATTCGCTCACACATTAATTTACCTATTCATTTACCCAGCAATGAACCACTACTGTGGTGTGTTGGAATGAAGAGGCCTGGGTCTCGCTTCTCCATTAGAAAGAGACACAGAATCTTCCACTCTTGGGGGAGGCAACCCAGGATACAGGAAATCAGGAGCTCAAAGAATAGCCAGAGAGTGAGGAACATGCATGTAGATTACAATAGGTAGTTCTTTCTGCAAGGCCATGAGGAAGCAAGGCTGAACCCTGGGGCAGAGAAGGAAGAACAAAGGGAGCTCTTTTGGGCAGGTAGGGCATTCTGTAGGAGATCAAGGTAGAGAAACCAGTGTTAGAAGGCTTCTGAGGGCCCTAGGCTGGAGATAGGAGTTAAGAGGACAGAAAGAAGGAAGCAAAAGGCTTGTTCTGTGTGAGTGAGTGTGTGTGTGTGTGTGTGTGTGTGTACACATTTACATGGGTTGTCAAATAGCCAACCAGGCAAAGAGGGCAAGAGAACACCTGTTATGTCCTCCCAGCCCTGGCCTCGCTGATTGAGAAGTGTTCCGATGACAGCGAGGACTGCAGCTCCTATGGCAGCTTCAGTGATGCCGTGCTGGAGCTCTTTAAGCTCACCATAGGCCTGGGCGACCTGAAAATCCAGCAGAACTCCACCTATCCCATCCTCTTTCTGTTCCTGCTCATCACCTATGTCATCCTCACCTTCGTCCTCCTCCTGAACATGCTCATTGCCCTGATGGGGGAGACCGTAGAGAACGTCTCCAAGGAGAGTGAGCGCATCTGGCGTTTGCAGGTGAGCTAGGAACAGGGACTTGGTTTAGCACATGGTCAGGGATGACTCAGCACTGGCAAGTTTGGGGTGGGGTCTGGGGATCTGCATAAGCCATGTTTGAAGAAGCCCTTGTCTAGGTTCTTTGAGTACAGGGTCTAGGAAGTGTGAGAGAAACCCAGGCTTGTGGGGATGCTCTGCTCTTTGTCAACAGTGTGATATGTGAATGCTGAAGGGTGACCTTAGGCTTCATTAAGGGGAGTCTAGGGCTTAGGACAATGAAAGTAACTGCTCTGCTCCACCCTGGCTTTAACACTCCTTACCTACTGAGGACACAGTCTTCTGGATGGGTCCTGATGTGGTGACCAGGTTTGGGAGAGGAATGGAGACTATGTCTCAGAAGAAATGGTTGTTGGAACTAGGGCTGAAGAAGGGGAGAGTGAGTTCCTTCAGATATCTGTAGAGCTACCGGGAAAGAGGGTTCAGCTCCATTCCGTGGCTCCAAAAGGCAGAACTGAGGTACATGGGAGAATTACAGGGAGAAAAGCTTTGATTTGTCACAAGAAAGTTTCTCATTATTGCAATCTTCTTCTTTTTTTTTTTTTTTTGGTATCGGGGCTCAAACTCAGGACCTTGTACTTCCCAGGCAGGCGAGGCGCCACTGAGCTGAATCCCCAGCATACAACCTTCTTAATTGGATTGTTGATAATATTCCGGAGAGACTGGATTTAATATGGCCAGGAGAACTGCTGGGGGAATTCCAGTCCCGGGAAGGGGCATGGCACTATGTGATATCTGAACTTCCCCCTGTTGTGGGATTTCAGGACCCTAACATTTCCGTTAGGAGGCTCCTGGACTTTCAGAGACATTATATCATGCTTAAACATTTGGAACATCTCTCTCAAACTTTCTGCTCTTTTATTTTTGAATTCTGTAGATCAGGTGAGTGCTCAGGATCTGTCATTAAGCAGCCAGCCAGGGTGGAGGGGTTGTTTGATGGCGTGTGTGTGTGTGTGTGTGTGTGTATGCAACACTCCTATGGAGGGCTGGCTCTGAGCAAGGAGCTTAGGCTTGTTTATGTCCCCAGAGAGCCAGGACAATCTTGGAGTTTGAGAAAATGTTACCAGAATGCCTGAGGAGCAGATTCCGGATGGGAGAGCTGTGCAAAGTAGCAGAGGATGACTTTCGTCTGTGTCTTCGGTAACAAAGAGGAAGGGCCCTCCTGTGGCAGTCTTTGGGGTGGGTAAAGGGACCATGTTAGAGAAACAAAGCTGCCACTCACTTGCATGACCACCCTGCTGTCTCCTCTGACCTCAGAAGATGATACTTGCTCTTGTGGAGTCCTGCGCCTGGGATGAGGGTTCGTGAGCTTCAGAAGGGAGAGAGGAGACTGCCACTAGTGGGTCCTGCTCTGCCCTTTGGGAGCTGCCTCTATGGCCTTCCCTGTCCACTGTCTGGCATAGAAAAGGTGTGCCAACCTGATAATCTTTGTCCTTCTGTCTACCCTATGGGTTTCTACCCTGTATGGGTTCCCACCCTGTATGGGTTCCCGTGTCACTAGGGAAACTGGGGCACATGTTTCCCCACCAGACAGAAAATGAGACAGCTACTTTCCACAGACTTCAAGCTTTCTGATTTTTAAAAAAGTCTTGACATATCCCAAGACCACCTTTTCAGAAAAGTGTTCTTCCTACCTCCTACCTGAATACTTAATCCTACAGATGCTTTTTTTTTTAGTATAACCTAAATAGTCTTAGTCTACTTTTCTGACTGTTATTCTCACCCCTGGAAACCATCACTTCTGACTGTAATATGTACTCTAACAAAAATGTCTGATTTGAACACTTTTTCTCTAGAGATGGTCTTTTAGTATTAACTCAAATCAAACTAGTGTTTCCAGCTGTGCTTTAACATTGTAGGCACTGCCTGCTTGCACTGGGGCATGAACCACAAACACCTTCCCTCAGCGCATCTTTCCTCATGGCTGAACTTTCACTAATTCAAGGCTCATGCCTTCTCAGCCCAGCCCTCCCTCTGTCCATCCTTCTTCCCTGTGAGCTCACTCTCATCAGTCAGGCACAGTTGTTGGTGTCTGAAGATGTACGCTTTACACCTGTCTGAGCAACTTCCAGGATTTCTGGGTTCCTGGGCATGGGACTATGTGAACTTCCCCCTACAATGGAAGAAGAACTCATCCTTTGAGGCTGGGAAATGGAGGCTTGGACAGGTTTCAAACCCTAGTAATTCTGATGTGACTGTGCTGGGTAGGAGTATTCCATCTCTAGGAGGGACAGAAGGGGGGCCTATGTAGTAGCTAAGACATCTGAATGCAGCACTAGTATCTGTTTGTACTTAATAAGGTTCAATTGTGAAGTAGTGAGAACAATAATCACACTTGCAGGATCAATGAGGTGAAGTGGACTGAATGGAAAACACACGTCTCCTTCCTCAATGAAGATCCGGGGCCCATCAGACGGACAGGTACTGTTGCCTTGAGGCACTGTGTGGGGTGTGTTCCTGTTTGACCATGTGACCTTGTGCAAATCAAGTCTGAGGGCCCTGATTTTCCCTACCTGTGAAATGGAAGTGTTGACTTAGATTGGTTCTTAGGTCCCTTCCAGCTCTAACATTTTATAGTCCTACTCAATACAAGTTTTAAAAATTAGGTGGTAGGGCGTAGGGTTGAGGCTCAGAAGTAGAGCATGTGCTAATTATTTGTGAGGTCCTAGGTTCCAATCTCAGCATCACCACCAGAAAAAAAATTATACTAACATGTTGAAACATGAAATGTAGAGTGATGCACTTCTAAAATTTTTTTTTTTAAAGTGGATTTCAACAAAATCCAAGACTCTTCCAGGAGCAATAGCAAAACGACCCTCAATGCATTTGAGGAAATAGATGAGTTTCCAGAAACTTCAGTGTAGAAGCAGAACCCAGAACTGATGCGAGAGTCGTATGCTGCAGGTGGAGTCCTTCCTGAACTCTGCTGAGGGACTGTGCAGAGCGGTGGTCTGGAAGCAAGCGACATCCTCATGCTGAGCAGGTAGCTCTACCCAGAGGCAGCTGTCAGCATTGGAGAGGGAAACACCTTGGGTTCTGTTACTCAGTGGATTTAGTGTAAACCCATGGCCAACTGTCCTGAGCATGGGAGTCTCCTAAAGTCCAGGTTGAAATCCTTGGTTTGACTAATTGCAGGTCAGCTTCACTAGGAGACAGAGAAGTTGGGGAAGGGGCCTGAGGAGTGGGGAGGGAGTCTCTTCTCTTGCCAGCGTCTTCTTGTCAGCCCAACTCCAGCCCACAGATCTCAGTCTCCCTATGGTGACTGGGTCTTCTGAATTTATGAGAGAATTTTGATCACATCCCAGGATGTGCAGAGGACTGAGCTAAGCTGGATATCCTGGGGGAGGAGGGATATGAGATACAGAAATGCCCTTCCAGAACCTTCAGGAAACAGGAAACCACCCTTGGAATGAAACCCAAGGCTCAAACTGTCTCAAACTGAGAGATATTTTTTAGTAGCGTAATTAACACAGGGTTTTAATTTTTAATAGAGAAGACATTTCACTTTTGAATGAAAATTACTTCAGATGAAGTATGTGATTTTAAAAGCTGAGAAATAGATCTTGGGCTTTTGGGCTGGATGTAAGTATTATATACTTGGTTTTAGGGTGGCCAGAGCAAAGACAAACAGCTTTTTTCATGCACATGCAAGTCCACAGGAGACAGGCTGCCATCTGGGTGAAAGGGCTTGGCTCGTCTCCTGTTTTGCCATAGTGTAGGCCTCTGTGCTGGGGCTGTGGCTTCATCTGAAACAGAAATAGCAGCCACTCTATTTATGTGGTCTTAATCTCAGAAGTGACTAGTACACATTAGTATTTCTCATTGGGGGAATTTAGCAAAATACCTGACCTGCTCTGGTAGCAAGTATTTTTGTTAACTGTGAATTTTGAAGCTGAAGGGGAAGGCTTGTGAGAGACACTTTTGCCAAGACTTAGAGTTTATTTTTAGATCCTCATCCTGAGATTTTCTGCCTGGTGAAATTCCACAGAGTTAGTTTGAGAATTCATGTGGGGATTTTTGAGATGTAATTATTGAGATAGTCACTGTGAATTTTAATTTTAAATGGGGCCTTCAGATGACTTGGCAATGGGTGAGTTAATCTGATTTGAGGAAAACCTGATCCCAGGCCCAACAGAGTAGTCTGGGCCCCGTCCCTACTTTGGGCTGCTCTGTGTCACTGCTTGGCTAGATGAGTAGAAACATGGGCTGTGTGTCCCTGATGGGCCAGGTGGGGGTGGGGGTGGGAAGGTTGGTGCAGTCCTGAGAATAGCCTTGTCTGCAGCAGCCCTTGCATGACTAGCTTTCCAGGGAGTCATTAGTCCTCTCAGTGTAGTAGTCAGACCAAGTTCAGATGTGAGCGGAGAAGATTTGAAGGAGACGTCATGGGAGCAAAAGGGTCAGATGTTTCCTGATGAGCAAAACTAGTGAAAGAACTAGAGAAAATTTTTGGTTGAACTCAGTCTTCAACTGCTCCAGATATTGGAGATATTTAAGCAGAAGCTGGTTGAACACTTATTTGAGATGTTATTGAAGAAAGTGGCTGGATGAATTTTAAGGTCCTTTTTGGCCTAGAGATTGTACAAATCAGCATTCCTTAGCTGGAGTCACCTCCTTAAATTTATCATGAGCAGAAGTCCTGGGTTGAAGGAGAGCCATTTAGGTCCGTGATGCCATGTACTACACTGTGGAGCTGGGAATTCCAGAATTGCTTAGACTGGGATATTAACAGATAAAGTCCAAAGACTCCATTTTCTACTTGGTTAAAAGGAAGGTTAGGCAAATAGAAATTAATAATTGGATCTTTGTCTTCTCACATATCATGGAGAGCTGCTTTCTGTAGATCTGGATTGAATTTGTTGGCAAGATCATTTTCTTTTCTTTTTTTTTGGTACCAGGGATTGAACTCAGGACCTTGTGCTTGCGAGGCAGGTGTGGCATCACTGAGCTAAATCCCCGGCTCCAAGATCATTTTCTATACTGGATATTTTCCTCAAAAGTGGAATTCCCCAAAGGCTTTCAGCCTAGAAGGCCTGAGCCTACATAAATTTGCTAAGGCAGAGAGAAGCAATGAATCAAAAAGCATCCTAGTAAAAAGGACTAATTCCTTCATTTTATACTTGGAGATTAAACCTCTGAAAAGAACATGAACTTATTAAAAATCATGGAGGAAGTCATGTAAGAGTAGTTGAGGCCAGAAAGTTCTAATTCCTAGACCATAGATATCCCCCTTTACCATTATTTTTAGCACAGTTATTCAGTACATTTGAGTTTATTTTTGTGGTTGGCACATACCAGGGGCTTGACTTTTTGCTCAGATGACTTGTTTGGCAGTCAGCATTGTCCTCATGATTCCTATGACTGGTCTAAAATTCAAGTGTGCATACACATGTGCACAAAACTACACATGTGTACACCTCACTGAACCCCTGGATCTATCAGAGCATATTAAAACTCTACAATTTACATTTCAGAAACATAAGGGGAAGATTATTTTAAAGCATGGGATCTCCCATGCTCAGACAGTGCTTTTTGGCTGCAAATGGTGTTTTGGCTCAACTTTTCCTTGGGAAGAATTCATTATTATAGACATTATGTCATGTGACTGTTTGGAATAAAAAATTTGCTTATCTTCCTTCCTGGGATGGGGGAGAAGATGTGAAAGGTTGTACTGTGAAGTCACTAAGCTCTTAGAAGGCATCTGCCTAAGAGAGTACAGTATTATTGACATTGTTTTTCTTCCTCAAGGCCTGGTGGAACTGTGTCCTTTTGCTCTGGGCAGGGCCCAGGTAGATCGGTGGTCATCCAAGCCATACTTGACTTCTACATTGATTTACATGCTTTAACTGTGATCTTGGTTCCAAACACAGAATTGTCATCCTACTCTCATTGAATGTTCCTAATTTTTAAATTCTCATTTATAGATGTGTTCTTAGTGTTGTGTATGTGAGACTCTGTGTTCAAGAAAGAAATCATGAAAAGAGTAAGACTATTTTAGTCTCATTATTTTGATTTCTAATAAATATTTATTTTGCCTTGTTATGCCTCTGTTTTATTCTTGTCTTGTGTGTGTGCGAAAATGAAGACTGACTAGAAACCCTCGCGTGTTGCTTCATAGGAATGGATAAAAGTAAAGCTGGCTTTTGGATCGAAAGTATTCTTACTAGTCCTGGCTCAGGGATGGAGCAAGCAGCATGTCACCTTCATGCAGTGTCTACATCTCAAAGTCTATGCATGTCTGGTACCCTATTTAAACCACTCAGCAACTTTGGAAGCAGTTTGAGTAAAGGACTTGGAGCCAGATAATATTAGTGGTTCAGGGTGACGCCCAGGCAGTGCTCTATCCAGGTCCTGCTGGCTCTCAATTTATTTTTCATGAATATAAACACATGGCTCCACCTGGAGACCAGGAGATATAAATCCCTCCAGCCTACCTCACAGGATTTTCATGAAGAAGCAATGAAAGAATGGATCTGAAAGGGGTGATATTGTTAGTATCCTTGTTACTCACCAGCCCAACTCATATGTATATTTTTCATTTGATTAAAATATTTCATAAGGGTAGCAGTTCTTACCTGGAATCCCAGGACATTGCTTTGTCATGATGGGCTGTGGAATTTACAATCCATTCATTAATAAGTGAAATACTGACTTGTTCATTTAATTCAAATGAATCCCATAATGCCTTCCTTCACTGGGATGTGGCTTGTTGGTAGCAAATAAATTTTATACCAATCACATCCTTAGCTTGAATAGGTTTTAGTACATAATCTAGGAATGTGTCATCCATGAGAATATTCTGAGTAGGCTGGTAGAAAAAGAATGTAAACCCCTCCTGTCAGATATATTCCTGGTACTGGGACCCTTATGTCAATGGACTTGAATATTTTTATGGCTCTTGATAATGTGAAAAATTACTTTCTGCACTATGAAACTCTCTCTTTAATATTACACTATTTTGTAGGTTTGGTACTACATCCCAGACAGGGAAGCTGAGACTTGGAGACAAATGACAGGCAAAAGTCACAATGCTCTTTTCTTGCCTAGGATCTAGGTTCTCTGAAGTTTAGTTAGACTGGTATCAAAAGATACCACTTTTATTACTGCACCAGGCTGCCTCTTTGACAATAACAGCAACGTTCTGCAAAGAGGAAGGGATCCAGTGCAGCGCTACAAAAATATATCTTCCCTACTCTCCTTTGAGATACCACGATAGGTTGAAAAGTGTAGAATGGAGTGAATTCACTTGGGAGTCATAGGGAGAACACTTGGTGACAGAGAAAGAAGACGTAGGTGGAATGTGAAGACATTTCCATAGAGAAAGGATGCCTGAGCACACTCATTTATTCAACTAAACTTTATTGGGCACTTATTAGATTGCAGACGCCAAAAAAGATGCTGTTAATGTCCTCAAGATGGGATAGAGGGCAAGGAGGGCAAAGGGGCAACCAAGTCAGGTAAAGGGAGACCAAGAAGTACATGACAGCTGCGTTACATTTTGAAGGAAACACAGGAATTAGCTAGAGGAAGGTCTGGGATGGGGGAGACGAATGAAGGTGAGAAAATTCTAGGGCAAGACTCAGTCTGGATAAAGGCATAGAAGAATAAATCAGTGGGAAGGGCATGGGAACAGAGAGAAAGGGAAGGGGGATGTGTCTGGAGAGAATGGGGGAGGAAGGGGTGGATCATAAAGGGGCTTTTGTGCTAGGTTGAACTTGAATAATGTATTAAGTACAAACTCTGTACCAGGCACTGAGCTAAGTGCTTACGTACATTAGGCTGCTTAATCCTCACAATGACCCCACAAGTGAAGCACTATTATTATGATCATCCTCATTTTATAAATGAGAGAACCGAGTGTGTAGATTGTTAGAAATAATCAAAACAAAACTGAAAGTGGCTAAAACCACACAGAGATGTGTTACAGATTTTAAAAAATCACATCTAATTAGAAACACTAAAGATTTTATGAAGATTAAGCCAGTGAAAAATTAGACTTGATAGAAGTAATAAAAAACCTGATATCACTGTGACCTAAATTCACATTACATATTTTTCAAAAAATTTTAATTTTTTGATGAATTAAAATTTAAGGGAAGAACTGAGCGTCCTTGCCAAAACTTACATTTGGAAAAACTGATCTAGGGAAGGAAGCTGGACTCTGAAATAAAATAAAATGGAATCCTCACAGTGGGAGAAGGGAGCATGGTAAAACGTACATATGAAAGCTGTTGAACAAATCAGATGTTTACTACAACATTCAGAAAGTAGAGAGTTTATTTTTATAGAGTACACTTTAAATGCTGAAAAATTTAAAAAATGTTTAATTGTGTCTTATAAAACATTAAAAATAGAGTGAAATTGCTTTAGTGGAGTTTACTCTGGGAGAATGAGAATGTTTGTGTGTGTATGTTCCAGGTAATGTTAGTGGAGTTTTTTGTTTTTTTTTTTTTTTGGTACCGGGGATTGAACTCAGGTCCTTGTGCTTGTGCAGCAGGCGGCAAAACCACTGAGCTAAATCCCTGGCCCAAGTGATTTGAAGCCATAAACATGGGTTTCTTGGGGTCCAGACTGTGGGATAAAAATGCTTCTTATTCAGCTGTTGTGGCCTGAGAGAGGAGGGAGTCACCCTAGCGAGGTTGGAGAAGGAGGCACGCAGTGTTTGGCCACAGGTCCTGCAAGGAGAAGAATCACAGGAGGCGAGAATGTTCTTTCAAAATATGAAGTGACAGCTGCAAAGAGTTTGCTTCTTGCAGATTGTCCATGTTGAGAATAGGTAGCTTCTCAAGGGGTGTGTGAAACATCAGAGTTTTTGGATGTATTCATATGCAACTTTAAAATTAGCCCTCATTTCTTTTTCACATTTTGCCTGCAAAATAACATTTTAAAATCTCCTACAGATATCACAACTATTGAGAAAGTTAATAGACTGGATACTTAATATATTGTCATTAATTCAAATAGAAAATTCAAAAAAATAACAAGTCTGTACCATTAGTTTCTAGCACTTATATATTACTTGAAAACATACATTTCAAGTTAATGACTTTGCATATAATATATAATTTAATTTTATATGTTGAGTGTGAAGTCTGTTTAGAATGTTAAACTATCAAAATGTCATGTCTAAAAGCTATATAGAAACAGGAAGCACACTTTTCTGAATAAACTACATACATAAAATATAATACCTTTAAAAGAGATTCATTCATTTATTCTCTTTTTAAAGAAACTGGTCTGGATGCCTACCGTGTCAGGCATGGGGGTGGAGGTACAGACTTGTAGAGTTTTTCAAGATACCCTATTATAATTGTTGCACTAGCAAGGATTTCTAGTGGAAAGAGGAACGAATGCTCTTTGCATTGAGTGTGAGTTTAGTTGTCTTTGCGAAAGCTTCTTTCTTTTCATAATACGCGACCTCATTCACAAACACTGGGTACACGGTGCAGTCTCCAC